AATTACAATTTTCTTAATACCACAAAATTATAGATGTCGCGTGCAGTGGCATGTTAACGCACGTCTTCTAGCGTGTCCGTGAGGCTAAATGATACATGATGGCGAAACGACGCGAAGCAACGCGATGCTTTCCATCTGTTTCGCCTGTTCCCGCGGTGTACGCGTTCTCTGAAAGAGTACGACGAACCTGGTGTAACTGATGAAATTTAGAAATGAATTATTCATTTAATCGCTCCACGGACAATTTACTTCGCGAACGCTTGCTTCTGCCATCCAGACGAAGATCGGTTTGAGAAACGCAACAAATTTCTCTGTTTAGCCATCGTGAAACTGCATCCACGAAGAAGATCGCGTTTTCAAAACTTTCTTTTCTTTTTCTTATTAGTCTACATTGTAATTTTTTTCAGTAAAAATATAAATGTTTTTTTATTTGTTCAAAAAAATTCTTTTTTATTTATTTTACAACTTTAAATTAAATTCTTCTTGAATATAACTGTAACATTATGTGAAATAAAAATTTAAAATATATTATTTTTTGATATTTCATTCACTCATATATATTTTGAATTTAAAAGAAAGTTATACTTCAAGAACATGTGATCATAAAAATTATAAGAAAATAATTGGATATATCGTAAAAATTCGACTAGAAGCATGTTTCAATTATCTCCAATTAAAGAAACCATGAACGTTAGAACTACACGGAAGAAGAAAGGAAAAAAGAACACGTGCTCGCGCGCGTACGCAATGCGTGCATGCGCAACGAGGATCGCAGAAAGAATAGCCGGGTCACGCGATGAGAAGAGAAACGTTTTTTTCCGTAAATGGGAACGAGACTGACGTGTTACTGCCACTCTAAGGTTCCTGAACTAATCAGACCGTGGTTTTATTGCAAAGTTACGGAGTATTTCGAACTTTACGAGTCGTTTGCGTTGTGATCCCAGCTTTACTCCACGAAACTGTGTACTGTCCAGAGACTTAAAAGCAATTCCTTCCCTTTCACACAAGAGACGGCAACTTGTACCAACACCCAAGAGAAACACAGAATATATCCGGAATCGAGGGCCACCGATCTGAGAAACGGAAATCCGAGGAAGAGAGAGAGGAGCCAAGAAAATAAATCCCAATGATCTGCCGCACTGTGGCGGCCTCTATACTTGTAATTGGCTCCGTGAGAGCGCGTCCGCGGCGATGATTGTCGCCAACCAGTCGATATACATCACACGAAAGACACGGATGCGCACGCGCGCGGGCTATCCTCACTACTGAAAGGACCCCAAATGAGAAACGAGGAGAAGAGGTTGGAAACGTGCGCCAGTCGAAGCAAAGATAGCGCTGACAAGCAGCCACCGGGAGCCCTCGCGTGCAACTTCGTTTCTTCTTCTCTTGATTCTGTTTCCCTTGCCACGCTCGGTTTCCATCTTTAAAAGGGGCTATCGATACCTTCTTTCTCGATACATAGTCTGGCATGAATCGAAGTCGTCACCGCTAATTTGGTGTTGATGCGGTATTCCATGCTTTCTTAGTTCAGGATTCGTAAACGAAGGTTAGTGGCATAAAGTTGTTGTTATTGATGCGATTAGTTTATAAACGGTAAAATCACATTGTGATAAGTAGATTTTTACCATTTTTAAAAATTTCTAAATTTCATATTTCAAGATCTTTGTTATCTATCTATCTATTATTTTTATTAAAAAAAAAACTGAACAGAAAAAAAAAAGAAAAGATATAGAGAGCAACTTTTACGTGTGATTACAAGCACATGAAATTTCAATCGAGGTAAATCGTTACGTGGTTACGAGACGTGGTATGAGACACCTTTTTTCATCTCGTCAGCATCGGTGCCACGTAGTGGATGTCGGCGTCGGCGAGGACATGGCTTGGTCCAGTGTCGCCAAGACGCATTGCGCGTCGCGCTATCGGCAAAAAGGCCGGCTTTCCAATTGGATTTATTCGCTTAACGAGTGTAGATTCCGTCGCGCCGACTATGGCCAGGACAAATGGCGCGCGCGTCGTATGCTGCGCTGCTTGTAGCTGGAACGAGAGAATTCCGTTACGAGTGGAAAGCGTTGCTGGGAATTGCCGGTGACAACGTTACGAGTTGGATCGGAGAGAACGAGAAAAGACCGATTCAATTTGCGTTCGTTCGTATTTGGTTGAAATTAAAGGTGATTGAAGTTAACTCAAGTTGTATTTTTTGATTTAAAATACTTTTCAAGTCATATATTTATTTTTGAAACATTTTGCACATCCTATAATTCATAATATAATCATAAATATAAATTATGACTTAAATAATTTCTGGAAATTCAACTGAAACAAGAAAAGAAAATATGAATGAAATAATAATACTTATGATGCATTGACATGTGCTGAAACAATTAACGATTGGTATCAAGATTCATTTGACATGCTCACAGCTCATTCTGACGTTTCATTTTTAAGAATTGGCGGAGATAGTTACATATTTAAATGAGCAATATTATACAGGTATATGTCCTAATAAGGTAATAACATCGCCATTTAATGAGAAAGTGATATGACCAATTTAAAAAACATCAAATAGCTGTTCGATGAAAATATAAATTTATTTCAAAATTATTTCAGGAAGTTCTCAAAACTTTCGAAGTTCATCAAGTTTCATCAGAGGAAACAGAAGTTAGGCTACACGTGGTTCCATGATCTGCCGTTGCATCGTTTTGCCCAGTCACACAGAAAAAGAGGTGCATTACGTATGGCGATTGCGTCAGGGTGATATCGTCATCGGACAGGGCAAACACGACTTTAGCCTTCTCGGTCGGGGACACGAGCGAGGAGAGCAGAGGTGCGTGTCCCGACACGGCTTGCCCATTAGGTGGACCCGCCGCGGCATCAGATTAGATTCCGTTTCGTTCGTCCGCAACAATGCCAGTGAACCGCGATGCATCGCCGGAACGGCGACGTTCCAGTTAACGTGTTTCCTGGATTCGTGAATCCTCGACTAACTGGCCTCGTTGGGACACGCATCTTTTTGGTCATGATCCTCTTTTTTTTTTTTAAAAAAATTTTGATGATAGGTGTTTATTCTTTTTATTGGCAGAGATTATTATTATTTTTGTGGCTTGTAAAATTTAGGATAATAAAAATAAAAACGTTGAGTTTTTATTATTTATAGAGTTTCTTTTTTTCTCTTAATGAACTTATGAATTATCTTGTCAAATTTTTTTATCGGTATATATTGGTAATGCTACAATATTGTCAAATTGATTTTTATAAATTGTATATATCAAATAAATAATAAATGTTAAATATCGATTTCACATGATCTATGAGGCCACTTAATATTAAATTATCGAAGAAATGATTTTTAACAATCAATTTTTAACAATCAGTTAAAATGTAAATTAGAATTGAATTCTTGCAAATATAAAGCGTCCAATGAAATACAACTTTTTAATCTTTCTTTTTCTTTCTACGTTCTCCGTTTCCTCGTTTCTTGGCATAAATATTGATTAAAAGTCGTTTACCACAAGGAATTGCGATTCCAGACTTGAATTTCTAGTTGATATAGACATTAAGGAAACTTGTTTCCAGCAATGTGTTATTCATTTTCACCAAGTTCGTTGTAATCAATCAAACATCCATATAAATAGTGTAATGGATACAAGTAAGGAAACGTAGCAATTAAGAAGATTTCAATGATCTTAAACAACTAATATATTTGCACACCATATAATATTACAATTTACATATATTTCATCACATCAGTTTATACAATTTTACTTATCTTAATTATTAAATTAAATTTCTTCTACTTCGTATTCATCGCCATCAATTTTTCCTAGCTTCAAACTACAAACATTATCAACTGATTCCCATCACATACATTTCCCAGCACACTTTTACCATTCAACACAACGCCACCTAACACGTATCTTGTAACCAGTAAAATATCGCGAAGCGTAAAGTACATTCGATCGCTTCGCTAATAGAGTACACTGATAAACGACAGGAATATTGTCGCGGATATCGTGTACATCGTCTGTGTTAAAAGCGGTGATGCAGTTCGGTCTTCTACCGGTTGGTCGGTCTACGACAAAAGTGGAAACGGCCTGATACGAGTTGAAGGCAGCGAAGCGGAAGCGAGGCGAAAATCGTGCGCCTCTTGCGGCTCGATAAGAAAGCTTCGAGAAAGCATCAACCGGCCGACAAAAGCCTAGCCGGCGATAAGATTAAGTGCGCTTCGGGGCAAAGGAGCATCTTTTAACCGAGGAACTTTGCGGCCCGACCTCGAAACTCCGATTACGTAATCGGGCCGATCGATCGCAACGGGGACTGTTTCACCTTTCGTCGAACCGCTTTCAAACCCATGATTTTTCTCTTCGAAACATTAAGATCTGATTTTGAAGAACGAATCGTTCGGAGATTGCATCAATTTAAAAAATTAATTTTAAATAATGAAGAAAGAAAGAAGAAATTAAATAAGAAATTAAATATTTAAATTATATTAATATATAATTAATATATATAATTATATATAATTAAATTATATTAATATATAAGGTTAGATGATTCGAATTTAACGATTTTTTAAGTAATTTCTCTTCTAAGTCTTATATAACTTCGAATTAAGTCAATAATTTGAAACGAAAAATAATTGGATTGAATATTTCAACTAAAAATACACGATAAAGTCTCCAAAAAATAAAAAAAATAACCAATGCAATGCAATCTACCGTTTATTTCTTCCTTAAAACGAATTCTAAGAAATATTAGTAATAATTCCCGCTAAATTAACCAATCCATCTTAACCTATATAATTAACGTCCTTTCTATACTTGTCCTTTGCCATTAACCAACGTAAATCGTGCAAGAACATCGTAAACGTAATCATGTAATGGGAAGGTATCGCGTAGAGCGGACGATTTTCCCGTGATTCCCCTGCCCTCCCTTAGTTAGAAAGTGCAGTGAATTATCGAGCATCCAGAGGCGTGTCCCGATGGAAATTTATTCGATGGCTTCTAACGTGCACGAGCTGGGGTCCCGGCATTAATGTATCTGCCGTGAAATCGGTGTCCTCGGAATCGTGCGACACGCACTCGATGTTGTTGAGACTTTTTTCGATTCGGCATACCGGTTCGGGGACACGACGCGGCCTCTCGCGGGCTATCGCATCGTTCGACACCAATCTGTGATAGTAGTCGAATGCCGCGCCACTGAGAAGAACTCTAATTATCAACAGGACTCGCATAATTTGCGATCCTTTGGATATGTGAAAATATGTCATTCTCTTTTAAGATTTTTAAGAGATTTTACTTTTTTATTATTATTGTACCATTTTAATTGTTGAGCATTTATATATTATATTTTAAACATACTAGAATCCTTCTTATAAATATCTCGAACATGACATTCAAATTCACTTCTCCTATACATATGTATAGAACGTCATGATAAAAATCTTACTAACAAGTGAAAGGATATGATCATTAAAAAATCTAATTAATCGCGTACATTATTGACTATATTTGTTATCGAAATAATTTAATTCAATAAATTCCTTGGGAACAAAGAAAACTTAAAAAAAAAAAAAGAACATTAAATATATATATATATATAATTATACAAGATTCCTCAAAGAAAAATCAAGTTTCACGATCCATGATAACATCGATCAAGACTTACCTTGTTAATGTCGACTACTTCACCCTCCCCCTGTCGTCGATCTGCCGAAGTATTCTCGTTCGTCCTGCAACACACAGAAAACGCGCGAATAGACTATTTTCCTTCGTCACCAATGCATCATATCAAATGATTCGAGGTTGCATATGCATTCTATATATAAAGAACACATTTCCATTACACACAGTCTTCCTGTCTCTCGTTTATCGCTTCCCTTCTCTATCATTTCAGACATCATTCACGAACAGAACGGTCGTTGTTTTTTTTTTCACGTCATCTAAGTTGGATGAAGGAGGATGTAGGGAACTTGGTAATAAAGTCGCGTCTCGTTACGCGATGATACGGATAGCTGACAGATAGGACGCCATGCAATTACCAAGTTGCGTAATTGTGCGACCATGGCAACAGAGTAAAAAAGTAAATCAGCCCGTGCCTGTTTCCCGTAATATTACTTTATTAGCGAAATGGGATAATGCCACGGTGTGTGACAAATTGGGAGCAACGCACGCTCGCGCATCAAGTGACGGTCGGAAAAGCGATGAATATTCATGGAGACGGCCGAGAGGAGAGAGCACGGTATGTTGGGATTGCTAGAAGCGCGAGCTACGTCACTAACCAGCACCCTATGTTCACACGTTTGTTGAAACACGTCAATGGTGGCGTCTCTATCGTTTATGGCGAGTGGTCAATAGCTCGAAGGGAATTGCGGTTATGTAAATGACGAGAGTCTTTTGAGGTTATCGTTATTTCTTTGGTGAGTTTATTATAAATTTCTATCTAGTTTAACAAAATTATGGTGCATGCAAATGCCAAATAAAATATCCTTTAAGAATTAAAATTTCAAAAGATGCATATTTGATATATTAAGTGTAATTATTTATTTCTTCTTGGATAAAATTTTAATAAAAGAAAATAATCTTTGTCAAGATTTCAAATGATGAATGGATGTATATTTTTTCCTTAATTATACAGAATGAGTTCACATAATAAGGACGTTTATCATATATATATATATATTTCATTATCATACATATATTTTTCATTATCGATTGATATAAAGGAAACATAAGTTATCTTTATCATTGAAAAAATTTATGTACTCTATTAATTTAATTCTTCATTCCAACTTCATTCCTTATCAATTATCAATTATTATTATCAATAAAATTTTAAGATTCAAAATGTTCTTCAAATTAACGATATCATAATTAAAGAATACCGTTTCTTCTCCCGGTCACAGCACATCGGTAACAAAAGACGCGTAAAACGACGCGAGCGAGAGATCGCGTTGCTACCATGCCGCGGATCAATTTATTAACGTTAATAACAAACGTGATTAAAATTTTTCATTCCTTGCTTGTCACGCGTTACGCCCTACTCCTCGGCTGTTCCAGCGTACCTAATTAAAGTAATAAGCTAGGTCAAAGAATTTACCGTGAATCATTACCTGCGGCGCACTATGATTAACCATTCCCTCCCCGACACATGTGGGCGTTGTTAAAATCGCGTGAAAAAAAATATGCTCAGTTGTCTTGCTTCGGTAATTATTTATTACAAGCCGCTATTCGCAAATCCTTGAATATAAGTCCTCTGGAAATTTTATCTAAGATAAAATATTTACGAATTGAGGATGATGAAAATATTTGGAAAAAAATATGAATTTTATTATCAATATTGACAAGCTACTATTTTTAAAAATTGATAAATATTTAAAATTTAATATCGTATTTTAATTTTTCTACGAATAGAAAAAATAAACATTGATCTAAAATATTGTTTCTTTCATTGCTTGCGATGAATGCATTATTATTATCGGGAATTTAATTTCCGTGTTATTTAAAATTAAAAAAGAAAATTCAATTATTCAAAATATGTAAAATGAAAGATGGTTTAATAAAGATGTTGAGAAATTTTTTATATTGATATCTTTGGGTAAAAATAATCTTTATTGAATAGAATATATTTCTTAGTTTGATAATAAATCTTTAAATAAACATTTATAAACATTTATGTGTGATTATATAAATTTAATGATTTAAAAAAATTAATTGAAAATATATAATATGATATCTAATGTTTTAATTATTTTTTAAATGTGCTTTGTACATAATAAAGTTTACTTATCAAGAAACTGCTTTCAATCTTTCGAAAAACTGTAATAAGAATCTTGATCTGAAAATTACAAATCTCTTTTTCAAAAGAGATAATATATAAAGATTAATTTATATATAAGATATTTACTATACAATCTCAATCGCGGTTGAATTTTCATTAAACATCCAAACTAATCCACCGTCGGTTCATAGTATATTACAACATTACTTTGTACCGTAATACGAGCCAATGTTGCCCGATTAACATCCCAGATTGCATAGGCAATGCTCTTTGCGCCAATGAGCGTATACTTAAGCAGTGAAAAACGATCGAGCCTCGCAAAGATAACGGGGACAACGTTCGCGACGTACCATGCTAGAGTACCGATCGTCCACTCTTTTGTTCCCTTAAACTAAGAAAGTTAAGAAACGTTTTCACTGATTTCATGTATTTACAAATCCTAGAATAAATTCAGTTCAATAATATAAATATATTTATCTAAAACTTATTAATAATATATTATAATATATAATAGTACAAACAATTTTCATTCATCATCATTGTTATCCATATATCTTCTCTGTTTCTAACCAAAAAGAATAGTGTTAAAGAAAGATTATACTCATGTATAATCTATTATATATATATCTATTATATATATATACACTAAGTGTCATTTCTATTTTTCTGTTCAACGTGTAAATAAAAGAATACTCAATAGCAAGCAATCGTATAATTTTAAAACTATTCTCGCATAATCCAAACATTCTATCAACGTACACGCCTACATTTACGGTTCCGCGTTCTCTTGACCGTTAAACGTCGCGTCGGTTAGGATCGTTTAATTATTCGAGCCGTCGACGCAGAACCGATGAATATTTTTTGTTATAGCCTTTCTAAACGTGAACCGTTGGGCGTAACAGACGTTCACGCGCGTAAGATCTCATAGATTAGACATTGTATAAGTCTTCCATACTTAGATAAAACTATTTAACTACTGAAAAGATTAGTAAGCGACGATTGTAGACTATAATTCGATTAATTATATAAATATCAGTTGATGGTACGCACGCAGAAAGGAAGTCTTAATATTTATAGTTCTGTTCATGATAACTATCAATTTGTTTATTGGAAATCACAAGTCACTGATTTTTGTGTACACATTGTGTATACCGCGAGTTAATCGGTTACTCTTTTCGTAGCCTTGTTATTAATGTATAATTGAATACGATTCATTATTTATATTTCATGTGGAGTGTTTTGATTTGACGACACTAGTACTTCATTCGGATACCTTGATGAATTGATTGTTTTTTTGATAGAAACGTGCTACGTAATCATGAAAAAATGGTATGAAATAGAAAAAAAAATATATTTATTTTATGGTTAAAATTTTTTTAATAGAGATTTAATAGAATTTTAATTTTTGCACTTAAGAAAATAACGCGAAAAATAACGCAGAAAATGATCTATAATATAGAAGAATTAGGGTAATGAATAGAATCTCATTAATCGGAATTCAGCACAAAATGTAGATGTACCTATAATGAAAATTTTTTACTGATAGGAAAATTTCTCATCATATTAATATTATGAAGCTCTTATTAAAATTTGAACGAAAAATAAAAAAAGTAATTTAGTGTATTCTTCGATCTAAATCTAATATTTTAATTAACACTAATGCATCTTCACACCAAAAATTTAACTTTTATATTATATTCTTTTTTATTAGATCTAATATTTTTTTATTTTTAAATTTTCTACAAATCAAATTATAAAAATATATAGACGAATATTTATTAACAAGCTGGTGTAAATTTCGTGTAATTATGTTTAACTTCAGAACACAGAATATAGTAGCCACAGCATCTATCTGTTGTCGGTCGCGAGACACTCACTCCGGTAATTAAGCGGTAATGAGGTATCGTCTGGCACGGCGAGTGGATAAATAAAGTTCCAAAGGTCGATGTGTATATACTATACGGCGAAGAACAGAGGAAAAGGAGAAAAGGTTCTAATGGAATATAAATCTTGTAACTGCGTGGGGGTGGAGTACGTTTATCGTTGAGTGCGTGGTCGAGATTCATTTGTAAGAGCGTTTATTGTTCGTCCATTGCGGTTTATCCGTGATCGATAAAGATGTCGGTGAGGATGAAGGAACAAGAGGGTTGCGTTAATGGATTCGTTACTTCAACCAAAGTTGTCCTTCCATAATGCATAGTATATTTTTCTTATCGATAAAAATTAGTTTTCAAAAAAATATTCGACGCATGTTCGAAAAATATTATTATTGCCAGAAAATTTTTCACAAAATTTATGATAAAAATGTGCAGAATATACATGTAGGCTTATTTTATTTTAGATCTACGTTCTACGCCTTCTGCTTAATAATTTCTTCACAGAGCTTCATAACGAGACGTGTCAGCCTGTTTAAAGTTGTTTCCAAGTATTACGACCAATCTGTGAACTTTTTTCTCGTGAAATAATATCGCTGAGAACTGTTTCCGTGTTTCGCTCGTGGACCACCAGTAAGAGGATTATCTCGGAATGGCACCAGTCCTCTTATACGGTCGTAAGTATCGACACTGCAATCGGCTTTGACAACAGTAAATGGTTAGTACACTTTGATAACACGAATCTGGCCTGTACCGTTTGGTCGAAACACTTATCGGATAACTATACTACGGATTATTTGCGACAAATAAGATCTAATTGTTGATGGCCAATTCAAATGTGATTTGTTAATAAAATTAACTGAAAAATTCTCAATTTTTAAGAATTTACTGTATCAATCAAAAGTATTGAAATGTAAATAGAAAATATAATTAGAAAATGTAATTAGAAAAGTTCTCTTCATTCTCTTATTTTAAATAATTAAATATTTCGGGAGTCCAATAATTATTCATTTCAAATCAATGAATCTTCTCAATAATATAAATTAACTTCTTCAATTTTATGAATTTTTAATCAAATGAATATTGTTTTCGATATGAAAGCAAGAATCCTAACAGTTTTTTTTGCAATCAAAAACATGCAGCTTGAAAGAAATTACCACTCTCGTTCGTTGATTCAGTTTTGGTTCATAATGTCGTCACCAGATTGATAAGTAATGATCGTGCGGCTGAAACCAGTGAAACCGCGCACGCGTAGATTGATAGTTAGGAACGAATCGCTTATTTCTCTTTCTCGCGCTGCTGCGCAGGAGCATATCGAGCATGCGACATTCTCTCACGCGATTGACGCGACACTTTGTGGATTGTAATAGATCAGTCGGTAATTTCCTACTAATAACCACTTCGATTTTTTTTCTGGACTACCAACGGAAAAGTGAATTGCGTCTCGTTGTAAATCGGCTGTAATCATTACATTTCTCGTGAATACATTTCGAGAATTGTCAATCTCTGTGAAATTTCTGCGGTTTTATGTGTTGGAGATGATTGATTTGAAAGTGGTATTGCGAATGAAGATGATTCAAGGAAATAGAGAAGGTTAGGAAATAGAATGGATTATGGTTGAAATAAATTTATGTTGAATCGTAATTCTCTGCTGCAATACAAACATTGATATAAGATATTTAAATGATAAGAATGTACGATAAATATTTTCTAATTATTGTTTTATTTTTTCATCAAGAAGATAACAGAGAAAGTTTACGAGATAGAAGTCGAAGTCAGATTGTGAACAGATGGCAATTTGTATTAGAAGGAAAAAATGAGGAAGGGCTGGATCAAAGTCCTTGCGGTTGGTATGTGCAAAATACCAAGCGTAGTTGCACGCACGGCCCGGAATGTCAGTGCACGGAATTTCTCGACGATTTCCCTCAACTGTTCTCGTAATATCCTCATGCTAGAAAATTTATATACATTTCTTAAATCATAGAATCATCTCTTGCGTCGATTTATCTAACCTTCCACCATCACAAGTGCATATATAATCTAAAAACGACAAAGTTAAAAGAATACCAAATTCATTTACGTCATTCATTATTGAACTCTTAAAAAGCATACTTTCAAAAAATATATGGCTCGATTCACAGTTGCACGTCAGGTTTCAGGGGAAACAGATGTCTGAACGAAAGCGAGCAAGTGGCTAATTGACTAACGAGCTATTCGTGGCTCGTACAACATTAGCCGTCATAGTCAGAAAATATTGAGAGATTGAGAGAAGAGAAAAAACGAGCAAAGCAACCGACACGGATAGGAGAAAGACGAAGAAGAAAAAGAAGATCGTCTGAAGAAAAGAGAATCGCGAAGATGGGTGATCCGTTCGAGTAGTGGACTGCTGGGCCAGTGGTGGTTCTATTGCTTTTAATGTAATCGAGCCGGGCGTCCTTTATCATCGCGAGAAAAAATGGCCATTTAATCACGGCGTTTCCCGACGTGGGGTCCGTGCGCACCCCTCCGGCGCGCCGCCTCGAGAATCATTCCGATATTAATAGCGGATGGTTTGACCGCGTAATATGAGGAATCGTTGGCGCGCGCGTATAATATCACTCGGTCGTGCCAAGTGGCTCGAGGAACACGCATGTTACACGGCCGAGAATGACAAATTAATCGTCTGCTTGGTTGGCCCTGCTCAACGCATCGAATCCTATAGTATGGTTGAGAAATGATATTCAGTGGAAGGAACATTTTGTTCGATTATGATCTATACGAATCGTCCTATACGGAAAGAAATTAATTTATAATTGAGAATTTTAGGTTAAGTTTGGAATATTAATAGATATTTCATATATATATTAAATCCATGCCGTCATAGAATATTCGACATGATTTCTACACAGCAGAAATACAAAACGTATCACATATCTAACTAGGAATCTCATCAACTGATCACCTGCAATCACATTTCCAAATAGAACATCACGCTCGGATGGCGCTGCAGTCAAGGAGGATTGCGGCTGCGCGAGCCCGTTACAAAGTCGGCAATTATCGAGGAGGAGTGGCCCCAGTCGACCTCTTTGAAAACGCGCGTTATTCGATGTCCTCTCCTCCGTCACGATGGATGCACTCGCGGTATGCCGTTGATGTCACGTGGACTGGGCAGCGTCGGGTCTCGTAGGTTAATTTCACCGCGATAAGATCGTATGAGCGGATTACGCGGCGGAACACGATCGAACACCTGTAACGAACATGATTTTCTTATGAACGGTGGAACGGTCCGCGTCCAGTTTTCCCTCTATTCGAGAGTTACTCGATACGCCCAATATTTTCTCGATATCCATATGAGCATTAGTAGATGGAGAGACGGAGAAGAGGAACTCACCAGGACATGCGCGCGATTTTTTCAACACGCGATGGGGATTTCAGATTATACGATCGGGGTTAATGACTGAGGTGTAGCCGGGCGGTCTAGGAATACCGCTCTGAGTTTTCTTATCGATTACATCTTGATTAGGAAAAGCAATGGACCGTATGAAACTGTTGCACGAGCATTGGAAATTCGTAATATGCCTTGATATGCTTGAGCTGGAAAACGGTTTAAATCGTGGAATTTATGGAATTGACGGTATTCCAATCGACGTTTGCATGATTATATCTTTATTGCACATATAATACTATTGATTTATTTTTATAATGTAAACTGTCTTCGCGTTCTTATATTTCTTAATATATATATCTATTATATTAAAAGCAATACTTATTTATTAGCTATTTGAAGTATTATAGGATTAATAGAAAAGAAATGGTCTCCTACTAGAAGAAATTAGAAAAAAAAATACTTGTTAAATTATCTTCTATACGAATTATATTTAAATGATATTTATACTCACTGTTTAAATAAATATGTTGTGTATTCTTATATTTTTCCAAATTTCTAAAAATGTATTATCACGATTCATAAAATAACATCTTTTATAGAAATATCTATTAAAAATGAAATTTAAAAACAGATGAACAACTATTTGGAAAAAATGGATTTGGAAAATCCGACCACCCACAGCAAATTCGTGTAGGCGTTGCATCGGTGCTCGGCCGAGCGCGAATAAAATAGTGAGGGAGAACCGGTACTCTTCAAGAGTCGTCATTCTATTCGAAACACTTTCTCTGGATCGTCGATTGATCCTGAGGACACGATTCGATCCAGTTCAATGGTTATGTTCACTGTTTCATTATTTTTCATTCTTCAATATATAAATATATAATTCGTTCATTTCAATTTATGTATATTCTTAACATTATAATTTTATTGAAATTTCGATTTTGATTGAAACGGAATTATAAAATGTTTTTGAGAATTAAATATTATACGTATATATAATTCAAGTGAAATATTGAACATAACCTCAACGGAAAAGGATTAATTAAAATCGAAGACGAAGGAGAGTTCACCCGGTGCACAAGGCTACGATATTCCTGTTCCTTTTGTCCGCACGGATCGCTGCTTGGAGCAGCCGAGCTGAAAGTGCCAACGATTAATAACATGATACGCACGCAGTGAGGATCTCTCGTACTCGCCATTAGTCGTAGCCGCGCTCTTATCGCGGCACGGTCTCTCCACGGTTACGGTCACGATTTCGGAGACACTGGTGCGCAACCGACCGTGTAATTTACTGCGAATCAGCGTCAATTTAGCGATACTCGACTAGATCATCGCCAACCTCTTTTATCTATTCTGTTCGAGTAGATAGAGTTCATTGGAATTATGAGAAAAGCGTATTATTGGAACGAATTTTTAAGGTTAGGTGCAAATTGAAGAACTTTTCGAGACTTTAAAATTAATGTATTTTAATATAGAAATGAAATTCTTTTTCAACATGAGTAATTGTATAATTTTTACTTACTATTTAATTTTATAATATTATTAAAATATGATAAAAATTATAATTTACGAAGCACTTATTTTTCTTATATTACGAGTTAATATTTTTATTCGCAGAGTATCAGTAATATAATTAGAAAAGAGAAGAAACAGAAATAATATCAAATCGTTAGTAGCAAAATACCAATGAAGTAGAAAGGAAAATATAAGGTAACAAGGAAGTAAAACGGAAATCATATTGCATGCGTCTATCTCTAAACTCTTCTTTTGATAGAGACGAGCGTACATAGGGATTAAATCGTGTACGAGGCTCCACCTATGAAAAGCATTGCGCTCGACCGCTTGCAAGTCCAATGCCAGGACTTTTCATGCAACATTGTGAGGAACGTATGTAGCGCTTCCGTAATATTACCTCAAAGATTATACGGAACAGGATACTTTTATTAAACTATCCGGGACAGAAATCTCGTCAGCGGTCGTAAACTTCAAAGTACCGACGATAAGAACCGTGGAGGACACGAATCGATATCAAGGCGGTGTCCTATAGGGAAATTCTCTTTCATGGAATGCGGACTCATTGCCCGGCGTTATAAAATTAAGCATCGCGTTTCAACATGCAATCGCGCTGTATGCTACCAGTTTCTCGCGATGATTCGTTCACAGGAGAATGCAAGCTGATTGCCTGAAACATTATGACTGTGGTATACAGGATGAATATTTGTTGATTTTTAATTTAATAATTTTTATCTAACTTATCTCTGTTGATTGGAAAAATCGAATTAACTCGTTATCTATATTGTTAATATTTTTAATTTTATAATAATTATACATACATATATGTATGTACATATATACATTATTAAAATTGAGGTTATAATATAAGCATAACTATATTAATTATGATTATAAGTGAGAATTATCTACTATATTTTCGATATAGTAGAATCATCGAATAGATCATTCTGAATTCAATCGAAGATCAGGTTTTAATACCTCGAACGTGGGATTAGGACAGTGAAATGTTGCACGTTATGGCACTGTCTGGGAAAGGATCATTTTCGTTACGTAATCACATTGAGTAGACTAGCTTTTGCACTTCGTCTGCGTCACGGATATGTCGGTCCACTGTTGGATTATTAACGCCTATTTTTCCTGACAGTTCTATAGTAATTTGTATAACCTGATGTCATAATGTGAAACGTTTGGAATGTTGACAATGGAAAATTGCCAAGAAGAATTATTTTTAGATAATGCTTTTGAATTACAATTTGATTTTATGCTTCGAAATATTTTTTTCTTTTTTGTAATTGGTTAAAATAAATAATATAATATATTTATATAATATCTATATAAATATGTAAATATTTCTTTGCTCTTTATGTACTGTACATATATAAAATAAGTATAATTTTTCTTTTTCAACAGTTTACAGAACGAAGATCTTATAACTTAAACATTTCTCAAACAAACTTCTACTCGATGAATACTCTGTCTTAATGACTTTATTACGAAACTAATGTTTTGAAACGCACGCGAACGTGTCGCCATTTTGATCGATGTCTCGTTATTGTCATCGTTGGTGGCGTTGTCGTCGGTGATGTGATTTCTTGCACTCGATTCTAGCATCTAGACTGCTAATAATAAGTTACTAATGGAATCCCGGCTTACGTGGGCGAATCGATAAATTATCTCGGCAAAAGCTTATTGGACAAGTTGCATTGCATTGTATTATGATAGTCATTAGAACGTTAGGTGCAATTAAAGCATGTGTAATAGCATTCATAGTATAACAGAATTTTTAGCGATTACGTATAGGTGAATCCTACCTAACTTTATTTTCATGACAATAACAAATAAATATTATTGCAAAAATAATACACAAAACTTAAGATTTCTCTTCGTTACATCATTCGATCTAAGAATAGATTCAAAGAATATCATTATAAGAGTGAAGCAGTAACTGAGGATTCATAACCAACAAATCCAATTACAAGGAAGCCATGCTGTGAAATCAAGCATCGCTTGTAATTGTCATAATAAGGACTATATTGTTGCCGTGCGTCAATTACGCCAAAACACGCGTAACACAAAATGTAATCGGCTCCTGTCATGCAACGTTAATGGTTCACGTAACGTGTTAAACCGTCTTCATTTGATATTTCGCGATTGCCAATTTTACATGCTGCCATTTCGAACCATTTTCACATAAAAATAACATGTACAAGTACTATCAATAATGGATAATTTGATCAGTTATACAATTATTCGACAAAAATTTTTATAATTATTGACAAGAATATATATAGGTTAAAAACGAGCAAGATATATCATGTATCATACATGAATTAACGAAATCTGGAATTTTATCTTCAACTAGAATTATTTTCTGCATACAACTTACTAATATTGTATTCGATCGATCTAATTGAACTAATAAATGTAAATTGATGCCAGCTACCATATACTTTAATGTTTGTTTCGTACAACTCGAAAGATTACCGTATATTTGCGCTTTATTAAGATAGCGATATAACATGTCCATAGAGGCGCGCATAGTATCGGTTTAGACGCCGCGAGTCTACGGAAATTCCACGATCCGCGTGTGCGCAATCATATGCCCCAGGGAGTCATGTGATGCGCGGTGCAAATGCGCAATTTACTCAGGAAATCGCCGACCTCTCAACTTCGTCGCACGTGATCCATTGGTTGAATAAAATTTTGTTAAAACATATCCTAAAGATGGAATTATTTTAATACTATTCAATATTATAAAAAATTCAATATTATAAAAAATTCAATATTTCATTTAAAATTTTTTAATTTTCAAAAAGATTCTAGTATTCAACTTCCAATCAAAGATTTTTATTCCAATATTTTTCAACAAAACAATTTTAAATTCATAATAAAGCCAATTCTATATTCTATTTTTATTTAGAATTTAATCTAAAGAAGATTATTCGAAACTGACTTGAAGTAAAACATATCACTCATCGAGTGGCGCGATTGCCAGTATCGTTGCATCTTGTAAGCGAAATTAATAGAAAATAGATGAAGATCCAGCGGCACTTGAGTTTGTAATCACGGAATCACCTTCGTCGGTCGACCACCCTCAAGATTTCCGCACGCAAACCGAACGAAGGCCACCAAGGCCTTGGAGAACTGCCGCGTAAATCCGTGTCCGCCGGGTAAACCGAGATACAATTAGGATTTGCCGGTGAAAAAGAAGCGGGCCTCGTTCCACTGCCAGTGCAGTAGTCCGTGCTCTTCGTGGCTTTATATCTGATCGCAAGGTTTACACAAGGCGGGGGACATTTTACGACTTGGACTTTGAATCGAGCTCTGGGCCTTACTCGAAAAAATCGTGATCACGCGTGCTTCTGGGTGTTCCGGCTCGTTTGTTCGATCGATCCAAGATCGATGACGGTGTGAGTTGTAGGTTAGGTAAGGTTTCCGAGATTTCTAGTTAGTTGCAGGATAACTTAGTGAACTTGAAGTTCCCAAGGTTCTTTAAGTTCTTTAAGTAACGATGTTTATATATATTTAAAATATTGTAACATAATAATCAACATCATTAATATTTTAATTTTAAAATCATAAATTATTTTTTCTATGCAGAAAAATATTTTAAATATTTATTAGTAAGAAGAAATTATTAATTGAACAATGTAACGATCATTCTCTATCTTTCATATGCGTTATATGTAGAAAGATACATTTCGACATCCATATGGCGATGTCATGAAATGCAATCCATATAGTGTCAGTTGATTTGGTAACAATGCTGCGTGTGATTCACGCACACCAATGAATTCATGGAATCATCAGATAGAACGAACGGCTGTCCCTTCGGGGAGAACTCGAGCAAATAGCAATGCGCCACGGAACTGATTCACCATAATTCTGACCTCTCAAAGCACGTGTGTCACAATGACCGGATTAAATTAATTATTCCGAATTGTAGAGAGAAAATTATGGAAGATATGTGTCACAGATTTATACAATTTTGGAATTGAATTTTAGGATATTAGAAATTTTAAGAACTTTGCAAGATAAATTTAATAGATCAATCAGATCCTTTGATTTCTGATATCATTATTCATTTTGATAATTGATCAGTGTCAGATCTCGAGAGTGATTACATTTAAAGAAAATACTTTCTCGCTAAAAACCATCCGAATAATTCAGGAGAAGATAGCACGGTAGCTAGTCGATCGCGCGAATTCCAACGTGACTGCTTTCGTGCTTACTGCTCGTTACTCTCTCTCCGTTAACCGGATCCAATATAACTGCGTCTAAATCCTGTAAATGCGGGCGTTACACAGCTGTGAGCCAATATTAGGAATCTTATGGATTCTATCAGTTTATTTTGCATTGACGTTTCCAAAATTGCACAATTGTTTATTTTTATTATCACTTAAAAATTACTTAGTATTTCTCTGAATGTCTTTTTTGTAGAAAAAATATTTCTTGAAAATCAATATCTTGAATTTATTCTTTCAGAATTTACTTTAATAATTTCTTGGAAAAACAATTGACAATTTTAAGCTGTCCTAATTTGCTTGAAACGTTATACATTTTCCATGTAATTCCAAATCTAAACAATATATTAGATTCAAAGCATGTGATCCAACATTTTCATATTACCTCTAACCATTCCATATGTACATTTCCACCTTCCAATGTCTTTTCTCTCTCATAACGTGCCTCTCCCAATTTTCCTTTCTTAACTTTACATATACTCTCTCTTTCTTTTCTATGTAACGTCGCATCGAAGCAATACACTCGAGCGACAATGGTCCAGCTCTCCTCCAACGTATGTGCACGCGCGCGTAGGTCGCCGCTCTTCTCTCGAGCAGCCGATGACGTGTTCGCCGTGCGTTTCGCGGAATGCCACGAGCAGGCCTGATTGTAACGGAGCTAGGCCCGCGGGCCATTTCTCGTCAGAGCGCGCCGGTGTGCGAGACCGAGCACGTATGCGCGAGCAGTCCGCCGCGTGGGCGTTTGGCTCGGGCAGGTGGATGCCTGGCCTGCGGCGCTAACGCGCGATCGGCCGCACACGACCAAGCCATCGTTTCGTTCCTCTTCGGATCTACTTTTTCGATGATCTCCTAAGTACGATATTCTATAAATACTTGCTTGAGTCTACTGCATAATTACATTGTATTATTATGAAATTATATAAGTTTCAAGTGCTAATAATAATTCTTTGATTTGACTTTAGACAATGATATTGAAATAATAAATTAGAAATATTTAATTTACTGTTGCATAATTACTACTATTGCATAATTACATTGTATTATTAATAAAATTATACAAGTTTCAAGTGCTAATAATAATTCTTTGATTTGACTTTAGACAATGATATTGAAATAATAAATTAGAAATATTTAATTTACAAATGTCTCATGAAATTTTAATAAAATAGATACGTTAGTTTCAAAAAAAAAAAAAAAAATGACGAAAATTTATTCTGAAGTAATTTCTTTGAAATAATATAAGATCATCATAGAAAATTCCTACTGTTTCAACTAACAGTTAACTAACAATTAACTATCAACTGGTCGTTAGATCGTGACAGAGACACAAGTTGGACACGAGGGCAGCCCATAGTGGTTTTCTTTGACCGATGGAATAAATGGATAGCAGTTTCGTGAGCATTGCCTTTGTTTGTGTTCCTCGTGGTCAGGAGCTTGGGAGCATGTGCGGTGATTGCCGTAACCATCGGGCACGCCTGCCTCACTGGCTGACTGCTCGCCAGCTTGGCCACTCGCTCGCCTCTCTCTCCTCTCTCGATGCCCCCGCTATCTGGGTGCAC